ATTCATTAAATTAAACAGATCACAAATTCCTTATACAGGTATTAGATTAATATAGTAACCTATTTTGTTTAAATTTAATTTAAACATACATCTAATATTAACTTACCAAGGCATAAAGATTTCTATGACTTTGGATATCCATGATTGATTTTTCTATAACACACAGATAATAAATCTAATTAATTACTATTACAAAACATTATAAAGGATGTTATTTAAAATAAAAATATTTTAGGTATAATAAATGTTTGTAATTTAAATCCTTTTATGCGTAAGATTAAAAAACGCAATAATTTTCAATTGGTATCTATGCACTAATGTAATTCTACAAATAGAAATATTAATACAAAATAATATATTCTTTAAATCATACACTGATACAGCAGAATTGAATCAATCTTCTTTTAATAATAAATTAAACTAGTTATAAACATTAATTAGACATGTTATATGCATATAAAATGTTTATAAGCAATTATTATAAAAACATATAGGTTATGAGATCATAATGATGGTAAAATATGTTAATAATTCAGTTTCATAATTAATTAGTAGGTATCTAAATATTATACCTGCATAATATAAAAGAAATTTAACGAGTAAATGTGTAAGTACAGCATGTCAATATACTTTGAACCATATTTATTTTCTAATTTATGATTGACAACATTTTTAAACCGAACCATACAATTACAATTTATGAATAATTAACATAATTTTAATAATAATTAATAATAATAATTTTATTAATAAACTTAATATTTTGTCAATTTTTTTAAATTAATTATTTACATTTATAACATAATGTGTTTATACTAAATTATAACACTTATTATATAATAATAATCATTTACATTTTATATACTTAATGGTTTATAAGATATAAGATGTTTTATATCATTTTTATAGGATTGTTATTATATAATAACATATCTATTGTTGGAAATTGGAATATTATACATATATAAACAGAATAGGTATAAAATTCATAAATAATAAGCACAATTTTAATTATCTATGTACCTAATAAAAATTATTTTATTATTAAATTGTAATATCTTATTTTAAAACAGAACAAATGGGAGTACACACATAAACAATGACATAATTGATAATTCCTGACCTTATACTTTTTACTTATTTCATAGTGTTCAATGTTCATGAATTGTGATAATAAAAAAATTAATGTTTTGTTTATAATTATATTATTAAAAACATGAAATACTAGGTATCTATATTCAAGTTATTTAACAATTTGTCATTCAGGTAATTATGATTAAAAAAAAACAATTAATATTATATTATAATTTAATGTTATATACTTTAGCTGTTAAATCTGAAATTTAAATTATTTATTATTGTTTACAATTAAAACTTAACTAACCCCACAATTACTTATCATGTTACCAAGATTTGAAAATTTATACATTGTGTATTCTAAAATATATCTTATTTATTATTTAAATTACACAAGTTTTAAGACTTAAAAATTTAATAATTTAATAGATCAAATAAAAATCAACTGAAGTTTTAAATAAAAATAAAAAGAATAGAATAATACTAATATTTGAAATATTTTAATTGATATTTAAGTATATTATTTATGAATAAGTACTTAAATACTTCACCAACTAAAATGATTATGAAACTTATTTATCTTTTACCTATTTATAGAGAAAAAACTGGTTTCAAGATAGTCTAAAGAAGCAAATAATATTGAAAAATTGATTACGACAAAGTAAAAACCGGTCATTAAAAAGTTTAAAAATAAACGTGATAATACAATTATTATTTAAATATATAAGTGCAAATCAATGTAAATTTATTAGATGTTTTTGAACATTCATAGTTCATAAGAGGTTTACGAACACTTAATCACGGATTTGGACGATAAAGAAATTAAATAATAAGGAAATATTATCGTCTTCTTTTAGACAAGACGACGTCCACGTGGAAGACAATCATCAAAAACGAGTGGGGGAGAAGAAATTAAAACAATAAAAATAATCCTTAAACTTATCTATAAACAGCAATTTGTTATTTAGTACAATTTTAACGGATTAAAGTAAACTCACCTTATTCGAGAGATGCCCTAGTTTTGAATTTGTCTATAGAAATTGGATAACTGATAATTGTGCCATCGAATGATGTACACGAGTCAAAAATTTCGCAACAAGTTCTACGATCGGAAACAATTTTTGACGCACAAGGAACAATCACGAACGGTTAAAAAAATATCTAAAGATGTTCGACGTTTTGTTAACGAACAAACATACCAACGGCCGGCGCGCAAATAAAAATAATAAATAAAAATAATATATGAAAAAAATCTTATCACGATAACTGTAGAATCAGATGTTGTGTACACAGACTGAGCAACCCGAATTTACCGATCGATGAACAAACAATTGGATGTTAGCTACGGATTTACGAAAACAAACTTGTTGAACACGTCTTGAACCAGTCGGCGGTACTCGATAGTTGATAGCACCACCTGCCATTGCGGTATAATCATAAATTCATAAGTCGTGACTTAGCGATTGTAGTGTTATTAACGTTAATGCGTTTATGGCCTACCTATGTGTTTTACGATCGCCATGATGACTATAAATTATGAATTATTATGATGAACATATTATTAACATGATAATCATAAAGTTATAGTTTAGAATTCAAGCTAGCAACTTACGTGAATAGATTAAATTGCGTTGGCATGATCATCGAACTCTGGCGAGTATCTATCTGATTATCTATATCATTACTATTTACTAGTAGGTACATTATTTTTGTCTTGGTACCACGAACCACGAGAAAACACGCGTTAGCATTACTTTCTTCTAAATTCTTCCAAATAACTTGAACTAACATTATGTATTATACATAATTAATAAAAGATAAGTACTTGATATATTAATATAATATTTACCCATTCGTTCAGCATATTTTCGATAGAAATTTTGAAAAGAAGCATGAATAGCAATTTTTAAAATTATTTTACTTAATTATTATGTTCAATAATAGTACCACATTTTATGTAATAAAATGTATGTCATTGCAATTTTCAAATACATAGGTACCTAGTACCTACATAAAAACTTAATTAATTAATCACGTTATGTTACACTTATTGTCTTTCAAGCATTATCTACGTCCATAATATATTTGATGAAACAAAATTCATACTGTTCATTGCTTTGTCATTTGTCAAGTTGTGTCCAAAAATTAAACTCAACCTAATTGGAAATATCCTGTACTTAGATCATGGTTAATGAATTATAGTAATTATATCATGATTACATGATTACTACGGCCAATCAGAGTACTGCAGGAAAAAATATACGACATGAAAGACATCTTGACTATGAATCCGAATTTACTCTATACTAATCATAGTATCATACCTTATTCATGGTAACACATTTAATCAAAATATTATACTATATAATAAAAATAAATTTCTATTGATTATGTACAGAAATATTTTGAATAAACTGAAAAATATGGATTCTTAAAAGAATTTAGAAAAAGATCATTCTGTGACTCTGTGTGTTTTAATTTAACTGATCAAAACTCTATTATTAATCACAAAAACACTCTGAAATTCATAAAAATTTTAGGGAAATCCTAATAAGTTTGGTTTAGACTTTTAAATTTTTCGAAGTTTACATTATTTATAATTTTATTTTTAGATAAAATTAACGATTATAAACTATTTTTAAGGAATTGTGTTTCGAGTAAAAATTTATGATATACATAGTTTATTATTGCTATATTTATTTATATTAGGCAATTATTTTACTATATAAATATTTATTATTTGTATATTTACGATAAAATATCATTACATGTTGATGATTTAAATGTGTATTAAACATATTATACCATTACATTACATACGTTGATATACGTTTAGACGCATGTTGTCAAAATACTATTAAATTACATATCATAGGTACTTTATAAATTAAATTAAATAATTAATAATTATTTTACAATAAATAAATAATTCATGTAGTACTACGATCGTAAGTTGCCTACACAAAGCGCCGCCTGAAACATGGTGTATAATATTACGTTAGTCATAGACTAATATAGAAATATTATTATACATATATATATTATATACATATAATTTATCATACATTGAAACGTTTTTTGTATAATTATTATACATTAAATATTTATATAGATTTTATGTTGTTCAATAATGCTCATTTCTAGCCATTTGAAATAGAAGTTGTATTCAGCTTAATTTTAATTTTAGTTTTTATTAATAATGACCAGAGTTATAAGACATCTGTGAATAGACATGAACTCATTGTTACGATATGAGCATATATTATTTTTTACTAAACCCTTATTCATTATTTTAAAAATTAGTATCTTGTCCAATTGTTATTATAAACTAAACTCTAGTCGCTAAAAGGCTCGGGTAATAAACTTAAAATATATGATACATTTTTTACACATTTTTATACTCCTATTTTAACACAGGATATAATGTAACAAAAAAACCGTTCGTTCATAATATATAGAGTTTATATTGTAGTACAGACAATTGATATTTTCGATTTTTTTCCATAAATATTGATAATAATGTTTTTGCTCCTTCAAAAATATTGATAATTTAATAAAAATTTCCTAATAAATTGTTCATACACCGACTGAAAAATATTGAAAATACACAGTCACTACAGTTTTTTACAAGTGTTTGTAGTTAGAATATTTAAATTATTAGATAAATAAATAAATTATAGTTAATTTTATAGATTTACCAAATGTAAGATAGATTAATATAATTACACGTAGCTACACAATCAAAAAAAAATAAAAAAAAATAAATAAATAGAAACGTAACAATAGCTTACAAAAGTAGTGACATAAGATTCTTTATAGTTTAAATTAATTTTTTTTTTAATTTAAAATGTTACTTTAAGCTTTTAATGGTCAAAATACTCCTGTTTTATAGTTGTAATATAATGATCAAATTAAATCACTATAAAACAATAAATTACACATTTATCATTAAAATATAAAAACTACCGGAGAGAACGAAACTTTATTTCCGTTGACTATGGTAATTGGTAGATATAACTATAGTACTACGGGGTTCGTGGACTCCGAGTTAAATAAGTTTTCCAGATAAATGGCGATTTATTATGTGGTATGTTCGATCGAGGTACCATTTTCTATGGGTCTACTCATTCGCATTATTAGTTGACTGATGGATAGTTGGACTAAAAAAGTGATGAACGCCACGTAACTCAATAATTCGAAAGATGCCGAGCTGCCCATACGTCCGAACAAATAACCCGCACTGAAAGAACCAAATGATATACCTGAAACGAAAATTTTTTCAAACAAGTATTATTATTTCATCGAGTAATTCATTAATAGTTGATTAAAGTTATTACTTATTATTATTATACAATAGTCAGCCATCACTCCCATAACATCGCCAATATATTGACGAGTTGTATTTAGGACTAAATGAACAGTCCACAGGTGGATATTTTTTAAAACTTTTGGAAGTTTATTTTATTATTTTTAATAAAGCTCGACATTTTATAAGAAAATTAATTCATATTACCCAGTCAATTTATTCAATATTATTTTCTTTTACATAGATAATATTAAAATATTCAACACAAATATTTCTGTGACAATAACAAAAAATAATTTATTTAACTTCTATTAATGTTATTATTTCCGGAATGAAACGAGTTGAGATAAAAACTATTGACTTCTAAAATAATTAAAAATAAAATCTACAATTTACAGATAAGTTTTATACAACGAATTTGTCTAATATAAGGTAGGTATAGAGTAATATAATTAATATTTCAAATGTAAAAATATAAATAGGTACCGCTTTGCTGTACATTAGGTGTCAAATCACTATTATAGATGTATTGAATTTGAATTTCATGATAGGGTAAAGTCGCCAATATTGGACCGGCGCCTTAATTTATTGGACCACCACAATTAATCAGCTGTCAAATATAACTAATGATTATAAGTTATAACATTCACACATTTGTTTAAAATTGTTTTAAAACGTCTTTGAAGTTATCACATATTGTTATCAATCATCATTATCAGTGTTTTATCACTTAATCCAATAACAGTCATTTTTATGCTATTTTTGTTTAATATTCCGTAACGTTTTTCAGTAAATGGGTAAGTAAACTAAATTTAATTTTTAAACAGCGTTATAAGCAATTTTGTATGGAAACTTATCGTTTAAAATAATTTAAATTTATATTAATATTGAAATGTATTTATCAATTTTTCTAAAAAAAAAAAAAAGTTGCTTAAATTGAACCACCAATAGTTTCTAAAAATGGACCATTAAAATAGTTCATTTTTTAACCAAGAAGGTATAAAAATGTTATTTATTTTATAAATGTATGTGTTTTCATTAATAAATAATATTTATTATTATTATTATTATTATTATTATTACCATATTATGATATATGTATATTTTTACATATTTCAAAGGAGATAATTTGATTTAATTATTTCTAATTTATTTATAAATAAAATGCATAATTAAATATTAGGAGTGTATATAAATAAGATATAGGTGGTTCAAATTAGGCGACTGGTTGTCTATGTTGGACCACTTGGTAAATTTTTTAAAAATAAAAAAATGTTACCGTTAAAACATTAAAAAAAAAAACTAACTATGCCAAACTGGTTGTTTTCATGTTTAGCTACCATCTTAGTGCAGTTAAATACTTATTATTTTAAACTGTTAACTATAATACTCCTAAATGTCCAAAGTGGTCCAACCTAGGCAACTTTCCCCTATATCATTGTATACGAAAAACGATTTTGAGCAGAAACGGTCGATCAGCCTGTATCAATAAGTTTATTTCATGATAATTTTTTTTGTTAGAGCTTTGATGTAATTTATTCTACTTTTAGTATTATAATAGGTTTACATATACAATGTTTTTTCAAAATTTTATTAATTTATATAAACTATCTGTAAATACCATAAAACAGTACCAATAGTTCATATACCTTTAAACAGTAAATATCTTAAAATAAATTAAATAAGGGTGACTACGTGATTATGTATAGTAAAATTAATAATATAATCAATATAAATGCCATAGGTTCCCATTAATAATATTTTTAAATTAAAAAAAAAAAATTAATATATTGTTATTTATTGTTTAAATAAGTAATTTTGTTTAAAATGGAACTTTTAAAATATCTTTAAAAAATATTTGTCTTTATAAATTTTTAAGATATTATAATTTTTATATAAATTATTTTGAAAAAAATTTGTATTAAATTTTCAAAACTTTCACACAAAAAGAAAAGTTTTTATGAATTTTTTATTTAAAAATAGTTTGAAATGTTTAGCAATTTTGACGAATTTTGTCAAAATTCTAACTTTAAATGCAAAAAAAAATTGTACCTATTTATAATTAATATTTTTATGAAAATAAAAGAATAACTTATGTAGAATCTTGTATTCAATTTTCAAAAATTTGATTCAGTGAATAATTTTTGATCGACGTTTATGGAAAAAAAACTAAAAAAAATTAAAAATTTCTCAAGATTTATAAACAGTGGTGGTGCCAGATATTTTTTATTGGGAGGGGGGGTGATACCAGGCCAAATTTTTTTCTGGTGGAGCATTTAACCCAATAACATTCAACGAATTATTCTAGTTACATAAAAATAATCTCATCAGTAATGACTAACAAATAACAAATTAATACAATTATCAATTTAAAATGTATTTTCATTTTTCAGATTAGATTAAAACTTTAAGCATTAAATTATAGGGGGGGGGATGGGGGGGGCAAAATTAAATGGGGGGGGGGGGGGTACTAGCTCACCCTGGCTCCCGTGTAGTGCCGCCCCTGTTTATAAATAACTTAAAAAGAGTTAAAAAAATTTGGAAATTTGATCGTATAATGAAAATTATAATATAAATATTTTATGAAAATTTCAGGTATCTAATATCTATTTCTATTTTTTTTTAACAGTACAATAAAATATCAAAAATTGTTGAAGAAAAAGTAATTATTTTAGAGTGAACATCGAATGTCGTAAAGATTTGAACTTGAAATGCTCATAAGAAACTAATTTTGTTTTCCAATAGAGTTTTTTTTTCATATAAAGATTAACAACTTGTGCAGAGCTTTATAATAAATTTTGGAACATTTCTACTCTAAAAAATCTTATAATAGGTATAAGATTTTTTTAAATAAATAGCTTAAAAATTGTCGATATGTTATTGTAAACAAAAGAACAATAATATAAATTATAAACATTCGTTGAAAATTTCAAGTTTCTATGGTTATACGTTTTTGAATAATTATAGAAAAAAAAAATAAGCATTACTGTCAAAAATTGGATATGTGTACAAATTCTATTTAGATTAGAACGTCTCTGGGACATTTTCATTTTTTAAGGTTTACTTACCTCGATAATCAATTTTTAAAATCATTGTCATTTATTTTTGTAACGTAAAAATAATAATTTATTTTAACAGTGATTAGTGCTTACCTATTCCGTGAAAAGCCATACCAAATAGACCTTGGAGAGTACCCGCGCTGCCACTCGGAGCTACTTCGGCCGCATAGGAAATGCCAGCTAAAAAAGCCAAGCCAAACGTTATACCATTAGTGAGCTCGACTGGCAATACCCATAGTGGATCTTTAATGATCGAATACAGGAAAAATCGTATCGAAAACATTGCGAACGATATCGAAAAAGCTGTTATATGTCCAATGCGTTTCAATATATATCCTGCAATACAATAATATATTAATATGACAATTATACATAACTACAACATGATGCAATGACCGCATAATTTTTTACAAAGACCTTATTTATTTTTCTACTGCAACAGATCAATAAAACCATCGTATTTATAGTGCAAAAAAATGTATTGTTAAAATACATCGTTTAAATTCGAAATTATCAGTTTAAAACCTTTTTAAAGAGTGCATAAGATGATGTGTAACTCATGAGTTACGGCGACAACGCATTGACAAAAAATTCACACAAAATCAATTTTTATGGTTTTAGAGTAATCACATAGCTAAATAATATATTTAAAATATTCAAGGGATTGAGGGGGGAGGTAGGTTATTGCTTTTAAATTGTATTTATTATTAGACATTTTTTCTTTTCTTTTTTATATGAATACGTTATGTTGTGCGTTGCTTCAAAAACAAATAATATGGTAATATTCTAATAACATTCGGATTTTATTCATTAAATAGACAACTGACAAATCCAATCAATTATAAATATGTATTATATTTATAAGTATAATGTTTAGATATGTATGAAATAAACTATCATAAATAATTGTAATAATTTTTATTTTTTATTTATAGTATGATAAGTGATATTAATTGTAATGTTTTCTCGTTGAATAATAATTATAATAATTTTTAATGACTTTTCTAAAGAAAAAACATTTGAATAATTTTAATTCTGCATTTAATTTTATCGTGTTTATCTATAAAAATAAATTTTTGTGAATTAATTAAATTTAGTAATTTACTTATGTACATTGATAAATTATGGATAAGTTTCTTTTCATAATATATGCACGCATTATAAGAATTCACAGTTTATGAGTTAGGTATATTATTAATTATAATATAATATTTTTCTTAATACTAATATTGGTTAAGTCGACTTAGGTCTTATTAAATCATTAGCTGTTAGATAATACAATTAAGCTGCACAATATAGATACTGATGTAATATGCGTTAGTACATAATTCAATAAATATCTAATTAAAATACAAATTGAATAATTTTTTAAACGTTTTTAGATTTATCATAAACAAGCTAGAAACTAGAACAAAAATAATTGGTTATTGATCCATCATTCATTTAAAACTATTATATTTTATTTACCTGACATAATATAAATAGGAATTTCTCCTATACAACATTGTACTGTCACTGAGGAACCTTGTATAGTCTTGATCCACGGTAATCGTTCTTGACAATAAATGTTTGCTAAGTCTTCGATGTATCTATTGAAAAACAATAGGAATAAATATATTATAATTTATAGTTAAAATTTTAAAATAATAGAAAAATATTTACAAAAATAAATAAAACCAAATGTATGCAGTAAAAATGCCAGCAAATACTGCCCATACAATGTATGAACAGACTTTAACGTCACATAATATTTTTAAAACATCCTTAATCATGCTTTTGGATGTACAAGTTTGATTTTTCTGAAAAATAAATACAGAGTAATACCTTTTAATTGTAGACATTTCTTAGTAATGGACAGTTTTTGTTAATAATTTTCGGTTGTATCCTTTAGCGCAAAATATGACTCAAACGGAACTCAAAGGCGAAAAAATAAATAAATTATTAACGCAAAGAAAATTACATTTACAACAATCCAAAAGTGCAAATAAATTTTATAAAATTAAAGTGTATTTTGTTAAAATAAAATTGTAGTCATTTTTAATTAAGGTTTTACAGTGATATTAAAATAAGTTTAAGATAAAAATAAACGTTTTTAGTTATTTTAAATTTAGAAGTATTAGTGCCTTAAAATTAAACTTGAAACTCATAGTTTTTAATAGTCCAATTTAGAATTTTTTTTAAACTCGTAAAATATGATACAATAACATTAATCTTCAACTGAAATTCATTACTGTTATTTTTCAAATATAAAAATAATATTTATTTGAGAATTAAATATAATAAACTTGAAGTTACTAAAACTTATAGCGCAACGGTTACAATATTGTGTCAGGTAATAAATTTATTTTGGTGCTTTAATCTCACTACTAAACTACTAAAACGTAGGTAAAAAAATTTTCGTTTTTAGATATCACCAAAATGTTCATTATTTTTCAATAGGGAAACCTCTAAATTACAAACACTTATATAAATCTTAATTTAAAAAAAATTACAAACTAGCATCAGCAAAACGTGCTCACACTAAATAATATAACTATAATGAACTGTTGCGCGATATCTGTATAATAAAACACAACTAATCCATGCTAATATGCATTAATAAAATTCAACGAGTTTAAGGAAGTAAAAACATTAAAATTTAAAACAGAAAAAAATATTTGAAGTATTACTTTTCAATACAACAAATACTGGCCAAGTATTACATTTTAAAAGCAGTATTGAAAAACTTGTTTTCAAAAATTTATGTGAAGTGTAAACATCACAATGTAGATAAATAATTTTTATTTAATCTATACGTATACATTGTGATAAATCATAGATGTAAACAGATTACAGTATCAACGTATTTTTAAATTTCCGTATACTTCATAGATATTTTGTTTAACTTACGTTTAGCTGTGATGCAACAATAGAGTGGCAGATAAGGAATGTCATAGAGATTAAATACGCAGGCAAGTAGTTTTTGTGCTCTTCATCCACGCTGTACCAATCCACGCACGCGCCGACCAACAGTGTAGAAATTCCCCAGCCAATCGCTCCCCAGACCCGCTGTCTTCCATAACTTTTTTTGTCGTCACCTGGAACGTATTGGTATTTTGAGTTGTAAATCAATTATCTGTCATAATATCGTAGATTCAATTTTTTAATATTTAAATATATAAAGTGTATGGTAAGCGGTAACTATATTATATTATCTATAGTCTATACCCAAAATTTCCAAACAGATCGTATCTTGCAGAACGTCTCCTATCATCCAAAGCAACATTCTTACTGTAATGGTGGTCAAGAAAACCCAAAATTTCCAATGCGTCAGGATGCCCAAATCTTCAGTGTGTCCATTATCGTTGAAGTCAGGCGTGAAGTGTATCAGTAAAGTGAAAAAAGCGTTCAATAGCGAAGCGGTTAAAAATACTTGTTTATGACAGTGCCAACGGTCGGTAATATATCCAGTTATTGGTCTTGTAACTATATTGAAAATAGGCATAATCGTAAAAATTATTCCGATGACGAGTACAGGGATTCCTCGTTGTCTAGCTATAGTCGGTAAAAATGGATTTATCGGAGCAGTTCCTGAAATAGTAGTTTATAACGTTAAAAAAAAAAATAATCAAATGCTTAAAATAATACATATCATACTCATAAAAAATTGTCGTTCCCGAAGATACAAAAAGTGTAAGAAAAAATGCAAGTCATAATATTATGTTGTACAATATTATTTTATATTATATTAATGGATATAATAAATATAAAGAAATACTATTTTTAATTGTATAATGCAATACGTTGTATATAAACTGTGCGTAGTGATGGTAATTTAGTTAATTTATAAGTATCCTCAAAAATAAATAGTACAGTAGTAAGTATACCTACGTTTTCGGTGGAAACGTATTGTGTCTTAAAATAATATTTTAGGGCACAACACGATGTTTATCACATTGCAGATAATATAGTTCAAATGCATTTAATTTAGTACGTTAACAGTAAAATATCGGCTGTATGACATAAGTGCCAAAGGTACAAAAATTACATATCATTTGCGCCAAATTGTGTAGGACATAAGCGCCAATCTTATATTATATACCTGTTATTATCCCGTATTGTATAATAAACTTACCACAATCGTAGAAAAAAAAACTCAGTTTCATTAGCAGGAGTTTTTTATTTATATTGAATTTGTAAAACATTTTGAATAAGACTAACTGTAATTGTTTTAAATTGTATTATAGAATATAGATTATATTCTATAATAAGGGAAAACCCTGGTACGAACAGCTGATATGATGCGCTAGCGCAGTGCAGTCGGAGAATATATTGTCTTGCCATAGGATATTACAGTAAAAAAATATAATCGGAAAGCATTAGTGCTTTCAGTGCTATTGACATTTAACAATAAATATTAAATTATGCGTCAACATGATTGTGATTACTCATTATAAATGTTATAATATTGTGTAGTGTACCATAGGTTTCATTTTAATATTTCATACACTATAGTATATTGTTGTTATTATTTTGATGATCCCACAATTGAAAATATAAAAGGCATAATAGTGATTTGAAAAATATTAAATTAACATTTAGAAGCTGTCTTACAATAGTCTCAATTCCAGTAAAATTATTAAATAATAATTTTGACATTTTCGTTGCACACATACGACGTATTCGAATATATTATAGTATTATGCGATTACGGGAAATAAACGAAAAGCCATAATAACTTGCCTATCTTTTACTCCTTAGGACCTAAGGCTTAGGTTATAGTTGTTTTTTTATAACCATTTTATAATATAAAACAATACAGTCGTTAAAGTTATGAATTAATAATAACAATAATTTCACATATATTCAATTAAATTTAGTTGTTATAGGTGGTCGTAGTTATATGTAATTTATTGATGTACCTAAATTAATAATTACTATACTTTAAAAATATTGAACAAATCTGTTTCGTAATATCTTTATTCAATTCTATACCGATTATTATTTCAGAAACAAATTGAATATTTCTTTATAACCTCAATAGATTATTATTGTATAAGAACATTAAAAGATTAAAGCTTTATTAGCACATTAACACAAATAGCGATGCATAAAATGTACAATTCCTACTATGTTATAATACAATCACTTTATTATTTCATAACTATTATTACATTACATTATTTTATTTTGTTATTCAACTATTTAAAAAATTAGTATTACGAATAGTAGTAGACAGGCAAACCACGCTAATTTCTTGAATCAAACAAATTATTTATAATACCATACTAAATGTGAATAATAAATTAACTAATAATAGTAACAAATTAAATTGTGTGCATAGTTCAATAAAATCATATCAATATGAATTATGATAGGTATTTATGTAATTTATAGAAAACAAATACAATTAATATACTTAAATTAATTTGATTTAAAAAAAAGTATCATGGTAGATTTATTATATTAGATCCTCATCTTTGACTAAGATGGGTAAAGAATTTTCTAAATAAAACATATTAATTTTGATTTCCGAGTTATTTAAAAAAAAATTATCATCTCATTTTTTTTCATACATCAAACCTGTTATGATTAGTTCTTACTTGTTTATTTTAAGTAAATAAGTTTAATAATTTTTGTTTACCTTTTGGGGTCCGTACACAAAAATAGCAATAAGTTTTTGACTGATGTGTAGTTGACCCTGAACTTGATGATAATAATTATCGTTTCGTCTTTAGTACAATTGACCATCTTTAATGTTTAATTTTGTTGTTCTGTATAGCATGTTCTGGTGTAAGTTCTTTGGCACTAGTTGCTAAACACTTAATTTAAATTAACGATTCATCATTTAGTATTCCGCCAGAGAAAGCTGCTTTAAATGGCATTTTATTGTCAACAATTAAATTGGCAGGTTTTTTTTTGTTTTAGAAAGTCTTTTAGTTGTTCTATAGCGATTAGTGATTACTTACTTCATAGGCAATATTTAGTAGCAGCATTTATAGTAAATGTACCAATTAAATATCATTAACAGTTTTATCGCATGACGTTTTATTACACACTCAAACATTTTACACACTTTCCCAAAAATGAATGCTGCAAGACTGTCAATATTTTAGATATTACATTAATTAATATAAGTTATATAAATCATAACTCATAAGAGTATAAAATTGTTATTCATGAATAACAATAACAATAATAATATAATAATCATTTGATGTACAAGTAATTCCAGAAGAAGATATTGCTATAGGATTATGGTATTATAATCAGGGCCGTTCTTTGAGGGTATCTAACCTCCTAATTACGATTTTTTAATACTTAATCGGCAAATTTGACGCTTAGCTAATATTCTTAGTATCATTAAAATGTTGAGAGTATTTAAATTTGATATAATATAGTCATTATTTATAATAAATAAAATTGATGAAATATTATATAACCTTAATTTCACCCTATATTACCATGGAATAAAATATCTCGGATTTACGCTGATAAATAAATAATAGGGATTAACTGTTTTTTCTTTCAATATACCATTGTTCACATTAGTGTTGTCTTCTTCTTCTCATATTCAAAATTTTTATTTGACTCTAAAATAATGATAATTTACCCAAATATTCACGTTTATGCTCTTCAATTTTGTTTTCGATTCAAACATTTGCGTAATTTTCATCTGGTCTGGTATTAATCAATGGCTTGATAGCAGAATTGGACGTTAAGATATTTTTAAAAGACAACAACGTAGGTTATAATTTTTAATTCTACTTACATTTTTTTTGTTTATGTAATATTTAATATTTATCCTAGAGATTTTATCAGTATTTGTTTATTAAATGAAAATAGAAGAATAGACGATTTGCCCCTTCGTCGTAAACTGTAACTGCCGCATTACATCGAAGTTTATAAGAACCTGAACATTTATGTATAAAATTAAAGTGTCAATAATCAATAAAGTGAATACTATTAAACACTTATACTAGTGTATTAGTGTACTATTGTCTATTGAGTATTTATATCATTGTATAAATGACATTATATTCTAAGCAAAGCGATGAATGTATTTATTAGTTTTAAAATTATGTTAATTTATTTTTTCTGTGGTTTTATTATTTTAAAACTATTATGTAGCATAAATTTGGTGAATTTGACAAGATAAAAAATAAAACACGTTTTAAATTACAATTAGGCGAAGAGTAAAATGTTGCATTTATGAAAAAAGTTGATCCATATTCTGACCATAAATTTATACAAGGTTAAGACGGTTGAGTTGTAAAGTTCTGCGGCATTATTATTAAAATTATACATACGATTTTCCATGTAGTAGGTTGGTTATAATTTATTGAGGCTTGAGTTTTTTTTTGTTTATTCTTGGCTATTAGATTTATATCTAGGTAAACTTGAAATTAATTACAAGGCATAACAAAAAAAAAAAAATACTAAAAATTTATAGTAAATATTTTTGCATATTTGGTGATTTTGTAGTATTAAGAGCGTATTTTTCAATTTTGCAATTTTTTAAAGCATATTTGTATTATTTTAAGTGTACAAGCATATGTGTATTTAGTAATTTTTAAGTTTAATAAGTTTCAAGCCTTAATTAAGTAAGTTGTTTAATATTTTTATCATACCAATTAGCTGTGAATAAAATAAGATTGTACATCTTTAAATTATTTTTAAATTCATAAACAATTATGTCAGTTTCTAAAGCTGTGAGAGGTCCATTCCAGTTCAAGAAACAGTAACGAAAGCCTCGCTTTTTATCAAGCGTTTTGACTGAAAAAAATACATAACAGAATCTAACACAAAAAGCATAAATTCGTACATATATTAAAAATTAAAATAGGACGTTCCGAAGTAGGTATGTGTAATTTACTATCGCTTATGGGTGTAAGACATGTGAAAAATACCTGTGCTGCGATCTCCTTAAAGCATACCTAAGATAAACATATCCACATACAAAAAAGTTAAATGCTGTACTTAGATTTATTCATTTATATTGATTTGATATTATTTTAGCAAAACACAAGTTTTTAACGATTTTACATCAAATATTACGCTATTTTCTGAAAATGTGGGCACAAAATAAGGATCCTCTTTCATTAGAAGTTTACTTATTTATGAGATTAATTTTTTATTCTTATTCATAAAGTGATTGACGACTATCTGAATGACACATATAACGAGGGCGGAGAAACCGATAAATCGAAAAGCCATTACACTGCCTAAATGGCTGAATGTGTAACCGGCTAATATTGCACCCAACGAAGCTCCTGTAAAATCAATACATACGCTATCATTAAATTATTGTCAATATTATATTAAAAGACAATAAATTTATCACTCATTATTTCGACAATTTTTATAAAAATATTATTTTTACGTAGATGAAACTTAAAAGTCATTCCCCAAAATATATTTGTTTTAAGTTCAATCGTTACATCATTAAAAAGTTGAAATTTTCGAAGTAATAAATGGTAGACACTGGATTAACTTGTTTAAGTAATTAGAATTCGAAAATAGTATAAAAGTGACGAACCGAATCCTTGAAACGCCATCGAAAACAATCCTTGAACTGTACCTTCGCTACCGACAGGGGCAATTTTAGCGGAGTATGATATTCCGGCAATGTAGCTCAATCCAAATGTTAAACCATTTAACAATTCCACAGGCAATACCCACAGTGGATCTCGAATGAACGAATACAAAAGAAATCTAAAAGCGAAAATGGCGAATGATATCGAAAAAGCCGTCATATGACCGGTTCGCTTGATCAGGTGACCTAAAATTTAAATAAATAGAAAAAACATAAGATTTTTTTAATTTTTATAATTAATATTGTTTAATTAATTGACATAATTGACAAATATAATATATTTTAGATTTTAAGCGAATAATGTGTGATTTATGTCAGAGTACACCATAAAAAGGAATTAAGGAGTCGAAAAATGCATTAATTTTCAACTTTATTTGTGATTTAGTTTGTACTTTACTCAAAATTAAAAATTTCAGTTTTTTTTTAAATTAATCAAGAAAAACAAACAAAAAATTAAGGAAAATGGAAATTTTTACAGAAAACCAGTTTTCACAAATTTGATTTTGTTTTTTAGGTTTAAATTAAAAACGAATAACCTTAGATACTTGAAATGTTCACAGAATTTTTGTATAAATGTTTCTAGTACATGCACATACTAAATATTTTCAAAATATGTTGGCTATTTTTGAGTTATATATAAGCAATTGATTGAAATATCTAATTTTTTTAATTTTTTTTTTTTTTTTAAATGTTAACGTCGAGTAAAATGCTTGGAAATTTAATAAAAAGTTCCATATTGTTATTTATTTATATCGATTAAAAATATCATCATTTTATAGTTACAACATTTTTTTTTAAACCGTTTAAATTTAAAACTTTAAGAAAATTTTCAAATTTATAAAAATGTTATTTTACTTAAGACTTGAAAATTTAATATAAGATTTTTTTAAAGTTTTTCTACAAAAAATAGTCACTTTAATTTTTACTACCGTTTGAAATTCAAATTTTTCATTTAAATATTCACCCACTTAATAATTATTTCTTTTAAAATACTTTAATTTTAATTAAAAAACAAATTATATAACTGAAACTATTACGATATTCTTATATTATCATTTTTGATACATAGAAGAATTTTCAATAAATTTTAACTCTTTTTGAGCTACTTATAGGTATGAACAATTTTGAATATTTTAAGCTTTTTTTCCTATAGCTGTCGATAAAAAATAATTCACTGAACATCCTATGTAAGTTTTTATTATATCTTTATAAAATTAATAAAAATACACTGACACAGTTTTATTGTATATGCATGAGAAGTTAGGATTTTAACAAAATTGGTTGTAATATAAATTTTATTACAATTTAAAAATATAATTTAGGAGGATTTTACGTTTTTTATATTATATGCAATGCAATTTTAGATTTATCCTAAGATATTATTTATTCATTACTATAAATCTATCATTACTGTTTACGGTAAAAAAAAAAATAGTATTTTAGTAATATTTTACAAATAATATTATAATGAATATAATATTTTTTGAAAAATTAAGTGAACCTTACGTAATACTAAAAGTAAAATAAGTAACATTAATAACTCTATCAAAAAAATATATCATGTAATAAACTTATTGATATAGGCTGATAGACTGTTTCCGCTCAAAATAATTTTTCGTGTACAAGGATATATCACTTAATTTAAATTTGATACACCCATAATAGCTATGTAATTAACATCTACAATGTAGAAAAAGTAGTATATACTTTCATATTTTTTTTTTATAAAATAGTTTAAAAGAATATTAAAATTAAATTTTTAAAGAAAAAGAAAGGCTGAAACATTGTAATCATAATTTTAAATTGAAAATATAATTGAATATTATTTATAACTTTAGAATTCATTAAAATATTTACACTTTATACAGAATTTTTTAATGGCTACGATCCAATACACAAAAAAAATTACTTTAAAATAAAAAATTCAAATGCAAAATACAAAGTTAACTAAGTTCTATTTTTTGATTTTGGGATGAACATATATGCAATTTTATTGTTGAAAAGTATTTTCTTAAATCTCACATCAAGCTATGTATTTTGTATTCAAGTTCGTACCCTATAAATAGTACCGTATATTATAGCTTTAATTAGACATACCAGATAAGTAGAAAAATGGAACTTCCCCAATTAAACACTGGATTGTAACAGAAAATCCTTCAATTGAGCTCAACATCGATTTTCTTTCAGGGTGATAATTGGTTGCCAAATCATCTAGATACCTATAAAATAAAATTCAAATTACACCACTAAATGTCAAAAATACATAGTTTTTAGGAACAGTTTGTTGAACAAAAAACATTTTTATTCTTAATTTTGAGTTACTTTTTATAACATAAAAAAAAAAAAATGTACAGTGCCACGGTTGACATTTTTAGTATTAAAAGACATTATTCTTTTATACTTGAAAGTTCAATAATGTTGTTTTATTAGTTTTTAATATTATTAAACAATTTCATGGATAGTTAAGCTAGTAAAAATTAATAATAATAATGTTAACAATATTTTATTCAGCGAATATTTTACACATAATATTCATACAGATTTTTTTTTTTTTTTTTACATATAACACCAAGGTACTTTAAAGTTTTAATTTCACAAATTTAATATTTTAAATGTACCTACTAAATACACACCTGTTTATAAATTATACATAAAATTGTATAAATGTACTTTATTTAAGATATTAATTTATATAATATACTTTGATAGTTTTTATATTATATAGGAATATAATGATGTGAATCAGAAATTTTTATCTGTGCTTTCAATTTATAAATATTGTGTTTTATGCATATTCTTTAAATGAGAATTTGAATTTGTTTATTTAATTTAAATATGTCTAATATAAGTAGTACGCAATTAAAATGCATTAGTAGATTGTTGCTATTTATTTTATTAAAACATAAATATTTAGGATAGTAGGTACTTACTTATAGTATTTACGTTATCTAGTCAAAATGAATAATTTTTAACATTTAAACAATTATAGAAATATAGTATAAGAGACCTAACTTACTCATAATCGTTATAGAATATTGAATTGAACGGTTTCGAGTGTAACACTTTGATTTGATTAAAATGTATTCGTAGGTTTACTGGTTTATGATTAGAGTGTATATTTCTATGCAATAGTATATCTTTTCATTTTCACTTTCTTGGATTTTTGTCAGTTATTATATTATTTTTTCTATAAAAAGTTGTTTAATTAGTGACTTTTAAATAAATAACAAAAATTCTTGCATATTTATTGCATATTTTTATGCATTCTACTACATATTCTATGGCATATTTCGATACTCATACATATTGTTTAAGCGAATTTATACAGATTATTTGGGCGAATAGACGCCATTTTATAGTGCATAAGAAATCCGTGCTTTAAATATAGCATAATATGACAATGTATGAAAATATTTACCATATAAAATAATACCAAATGTATACCATGAAAATTCCTCCAGTAGTTGCCCAAACAAGGAAAACGCATACTTTGGCTTTTTTTAATACTATTTTCACATCCTTGAGTATATTTGTTGTTGGCCCATCGGTCTCGGGTACCTATATATAATCGAAAACAACGAATATGACGTACACGTGACATAAACAGAAATCAATCTATGGACATCACAGATTTTGTCAAATTAAATTCGTTTTATAGAAAATTAGTTATCATAGAATATTGAAGTTAAAAAACTTACTACCTACTATAGTTTTTATTTTTAAATTAATTTTTGGTGTTATAGAACATATTTTAAAGAAAAGTTATTGACGAATAAAATACAAAAAACAAAACGTAACCTTTTTTGAATAATATGTAATACATTACTGTATAAATTATTATCATAATAATTTTACAAATAATTTTATTAAAAACCATTTATTTTAAATAGTTTAATATTAAAGTACACTAAAACTGAGCTAGTGATATTTTAGATTGTGTAAACTGTAAACGATATCCGGTGTGTGTAGCTTAACCAACTCCGACTAAATCTAACACTGTAATTACGATATACCGTAGTATTAAAAAATATAAAAAATACTAGATAGCTATAAAATTACCAACATCTTTATCAAAATTACAACATAATATGTATTATAATGGTTGTTCTAAACGGCTACATACTAGTTGCGTTCCAAAGATATCTATAAAAAAGGTTATCTTCGACAAAGAATTCCGACCAGGAATTGACCAAGAAATGAAAAAATAAAAATATTTGTTTTTTATATATTGGAATCATACATTTTAGACGAGTTCATTTTCCCTCCTTTTTTTATGGGCAGAATACTCAGCGTCCACTATGCGCACTACTAACAGCTGTGATGCTTTTCATTCAAAATTCAACGCTTTGTTCTACACTATACTCATCCTTATATTTTTGTATTCATCGATGTTCTAAAAAATTTACAAAATGATACCTGAATAAAATTAAGAAGCATTCACTTAAATACTAGCAGAACAAATATAATTGAAAAAGAAACATTTATTAGAAATGCTATAAAACGGTTAGAAGAAAACCAAATTGGCGAACTTAAATTTATACAAATACTATCATAAAAGTTTTTACCAATGCCATATAATACTGCTACGAATTTAAAAAAATTATACTAAAATTTTTCATTTTAATATCAAAAAAACATTTTTAACCTTAAGAAATATCATATACATTTTTACCAGTATCGATACATTTAAAAATAAAAACATAATTTTTAACCTACCTGTAGTATCTACTGATGCTACAGACAGTCCTAAATCTGTATAAAAATGTGAAGGAAAATGAAGCTTTTTTTAATTTTAATTTACATATTTAAATTAATTTAAGTTTAAATTTTGGGCTGCAATTCATATGGGTGTGACCCGTTTCGCCCTGCAAATTTTATAATAATTGTAAGATTTCCGTTTCGCCCAGACTACTTTATACCAATTTAAAATTAAGTTGGCAATGGTTCAGTAAAATACTGTTACATTATACTTAAGTATTATTTAGTGTTACCCAGAGAACACCACAAGAAGGCAATACGACTCTTTATTCTCCAAAATATTTTTTTTTAACTTTAAATTCACTTCGCATTAAAAAAATTTTTAGTATTAACAAAAACATTAAACAAATAATTTAAAAAAAAAATTCACATGCAATCAAAGGTTTTAATTTTGTCACAAATATATTTAATACTTACACACTATAAATTTCACATATAAATTTAACCACACAAATTGTACAAACAATCTGGCCGTTTTTTTAAAAAGTAAATGAGATTTGATGTCAGAATGCCCATCTGACGATAGAGTTATTAAATACTGTGATTATTTGATAAACGTTTGCATTTCTGAGGATAGTACATTTACTCCTAGTCTATGGACATGTAATACAGCGAGTATACTGCTTACGACGAATACGTGTGAGTCTCATCGAGGTGTTCTCTGAGTAACGCTAAATAATACTTAAATATAATGTACAACAATACTTGACTGAACCATTGCCAACTTAATTTTAAATTAGTATAAACTAATCTGGGCGAAACAGAAATCTTACAATTACAAAATTTGAGTGAAACGGGTACGTTCATTTTTGAGCGAAACAAGTCTCGTCCATTCGTATGCACCCCAAAAAAACTTGGGCCGTAATTTGGAAGAAATTTTTATCGCGAGACGCAATTAATAGCCACCCTTATAGATGATGTTTCCGAATTGCGGACAAAGTAACAAAAAACATGTGAGTTTCGGACGAAATTTAAAAGAGAACATACGCATTGCAGACACAAATATAAGATACTAATTGCAGACAAATGTCCAATTATTATCTTTGGTATAAAGATTGTGAATGTTGAGAAATTACTGTTTGATATTAACGATATATTTATATATACAATATAAATGGCGATTGACATTATTGGTCGTTGAACTAATTATTTACCACCATTAAAATTGTACCAGTGCTTTTGAAACAGCTGTCAAAAAATATGTTTAATTAGTTTATCAACAACCTTACTCGCTTGTTTAATACCTGTCATCTTTTTTTCGTTTATTTTCTATGTAAAAATGTATAGAGAAAAACTTAAAGAGTTACGTGTGATTGACAGTTTTTAGTTCCGTTTTCATCGCATAATAAAAAATTTAATTCAACGAAGAGCATGTACAAATAAAAGGTGTAATACATTTTTTAAATTTGACACACATGGTGTTGAAATAGACAATAATCTTGAACATAATAACCACGCAACCGATGAAAAACGATCACATGTGCTGCAGAAGTTAAGTAATATTGTTAAACGCATAGCGGTAAAGCAGCTATATGTGAACATCCCAGCAAAATTAAATATTCGAAGATTACACCAAATTATTTAAATATATTAGACACATAGGATATAAATTTAATTAGAAAGAATATTCACACTATCCAATATTACCTAAAACACTTTTAGAATTTTATGCGATGGTTCCAGACGTAGTAGATCAATTACACACCAAGGGAGCTGAAAAATGGATTATTGACATTGAAAATAATAAAAGTGTTGTGTGCTTCTTTACAATAAAAAATTTTAATTTTTTTCAAAAGTGTGATGCTATTTTTATCGATGGTACTTTTCAAGCTGTCTATCTCTGTTAAATCAATTATTCGTGGTTGATGGAGTAAAAAAATATTGTATTTACGTACCATTATTTTTTTGTTTGTTGGTGAGTAAATTAGTTACTGTTTATAATACAGCACTCAAGTTTTTGAAACAACGTTCACCACTACTACCATCCACTTTTCATATTGATTTTGAACAATCTATCCACACAGCTGTTCGTCTAGTATGGCCAATGAGCAAAATAAAAGGATGTCGATTCCACTTCGGACAAGCTTGGTACCCAAAACTACAGTCATTACGTCTAGCTAAAGTATATAGTACTGAGGATGAAAAGGGCAACTTTTTAAAAACATTTTTTGGTTTACCGTTTTTGTCATCTAACGAAGTGGATGATTGCTTTACAGATGACTTAATGTTTACGCTGCCGGCTGACTATACTGCTATAAACGATTTTATAGATTATGTTTTTTGAACTATATAAATACAAATTCTGCAATGTTCCCTTCAGAAATACGGGCAAAATTTTCTTCTTCTATTTCACGAATCACAAATTCCTGTGAAAGTTTTCATGCTAACCTTAATGGTATGTTTTATTGTTATCACCCTAATATAATATATTATCAATTGATATTTGATCGAGACCTTAAATGAAATACAGACTAGTAGCTATACTAAAATTAATTGTTGCAATATTCAAGCAGTGAAATCAGTTGAATATCATTTATACAGGCCGTTTCAAAAACATTTTTATCACAAAATTAAAACTTTAAATAATTTGACAAAATTTTAAAAATAACAATTGCTCTTTTACAAGGCACATATATTTTAAACCCTACCTACCAATTTTTAGTAGCTTGTGCTAAGTTCTGAAATGTGGTGAAGAGAAATATTTGTGTCCGCAACTCACGTGGTTTTTATTAAAAAAAAAGCTCTGTGCGCAATTATTATAATGACAACGAAACTCGTGTCCACAATTGTTATGTTATAATATTGACCTAAATAATTCATTCGCAACTAGTATGTGTCCGTTCTAGATATTATAACTTTTTACCAACTGGATTAAACCAGATAATCTAATTTAAAAATAAAATTGATCTCAAGTGGGATACACGTTTTATGTACGTACTAGCTACTAGCACATAAGTAATTCGTGAATATTTTATGAGGATTTATTTATTTTAAAATAGTAAAATATTTTATTTTATTTTTGATATTTCATAATAATCATTGGTCACACTACAATAAAACTTGACTTTAAACTGTCCTAAATTCGATGCAAGCATAATTATTTGGTCATGGGATTATACCCGGTTGTACCTCATCTCACCTTTAATAAGTTGAATGTTACCACAAAATCTATGAAAAACGAAGTTGCTGAAATCAAATATCCAAGTAAATAATCCTTCTGTGCTTTACCACTACTATACCAGTCAGTGGCAACCCCCGCCACTATGGACATAATACCCCATCCGACTGCACCCCAGAGTCGTTGCATTCCGAACCTCACGCTGTCACCGTCTATAAAAAAATATCAATAATTATCAATATAAGATTCTATAATGTTCCGTATGTACAAACATGAATGTAGTTAACTTAAAAATAATTATAGAAATTTACTATATAATATTAATTTTTAAGAAATCTAAATATACTGTGTTAAAAGTAGTGAAGTACATTATATCAATTAACTAACGCTGAAAATGGACAGTAGTCAATAGACCTATACAATTGTTGTCATCTGTCGATATTTAAGTTTTTAGGTAAATAAAAAGCTGATGATTTCGATCAGAGTGAATGAAAAATAGTATAAGCATGCTTTATCTACTCTGAATTTATGTCAGTGCATTAAATTTATTTTTTAATTTCATTCAATTTTAAAGAATTATGTTTACGTTTTACATTTTATGTAACGTATTTAAAGCTATACCATTCAACTCGAATACCTACTGGTTAGGCTTTTTTTCAAACATACATTCTTTAAAACATGCGAGTGTAATAATAATATATGCTCTTAAAATACCACGTATGTTTATAAACCTAAAATAACAATGAGTACTTTTTATAATAATAAAATGTAAAAATGTATGAGAAGTATACAACATTTATATTTAATTTACACCTAAAATCTATGATATCTTATAGAAAATATCCAAAGAAAATAATACATAATAAATATGTAATCTTTTAATTCGTGACTCCGAAACATCTTCTACCTTCCTGTTACTATTAATTTGGAATCATAAATTATTAAAATATTATTAATAGTACATTTACCTAGGATTTTCATACAGATGGTCTCTTGCAGGACTTCGGTGACCATAAACAATACCATTCTCAGTATGACGACGGATGCGAACCACCAGAATTGCAACGAGCTAAAGGTCTCGGCGTCAGAGATCTCACCAGTCGAGGAAGTAGCACCTGGCACGAAATACAGTGTAGGTGTTAACAGACCGTTGAGGAGGATCGAGCCTAAAAATACGGTCCGCCGGCACTTCCATCTATCAGTGATATAGCCAGTCAGCGGTTTGACCACGATGTTTAGCAATAACAGCAACGTGAAAATACTGCCGAACACTGTCGACGAGTAGCCACGCTGCTTGGTAATCGTTGACAGAAATGGGATGATTGGCGAATTTGCTGAAAATCAAACGTATTTAAATGTAAAATATAATATTATTATCGGTTTATGTAAATATAATCTCGCTTTTCACTTAATAAAATTTTCGTATTCAACGATGATAAAATATTATATAATTTTAGACGAATATCAAACTATTATACAAATTCTGACCGATAATATTATAATATTAATACAATTTATAATAATAAACTTTTTGTCATCTAAACCCTATATTATATTGATTAGAAATGTATGTAATTTATGTAGTAATTATTCATTTTTAGTTACTTACTTAATTAATATAAAATAAATAATATCAATTTTTTTTTATAATTGCTTTGTTTTATTAATTAAATATGGTATATCTTACTATACGGGACAGCACTTATGGCACAGCTAGGTATACTGTAAAAATATATTATGATAGATATAAGTAAAATACTTTTTTAAGTACAAAGCATAATAAACCAACGTAAATTGACTATAGATAAAATTTTGAATGAAGACAGCATATTGAACGAGCGCATACCGATGTATAGTTCAATGGAAGTTAGAAACGCGAAAAATATATCAAAAATGGAGTTAACGAGTTGGTAGTTGCGTGTGTCTCCAGTACCCGAGCTAAATCTCTTTCTATAATAATAATTTATTTATGAATTTGCAATTATGTCTGTGTAACTGTATATCGTGTTTTCAAATCGAAATTAATTCGTCTGCATAATATATGATTAATACTTACCGGAATCGAAAAAAAAATAATGCATCTTTATGGGCAACAAATCGAAGTTTATGTTTAAAAAACTCATCGCGATCGATTTTTTCGTTCGAAATACGTATGAAAAAAAATATTCACCGACTATGATTTCGCGACGTTCTGGCACATTAAAATTGAACACCTAATTAAAATACGTGTTCATTGTATGTTATACGAAATACGTATACTTATATTATTTACAAACAAGGTATATACACTTCAATTAAAATGATAGTCAATAAAAAAAATCAGTGTAATCGTGTAAAATTATTGTTTAAGATTACCTCCCGCCATTTATTGATTTAATAATAATATGAAGTACTTACTATTTAGGTATAAACTCGTATTATATTATTCGTTTACAAAACGAATAAATACAACGATTGTCGATCCTATAATTCAATTATGTGACTCAATATGATATCATCCATAATATTTTAATCCGTTTTTTTATAATTTTAGAAGATAGCCAATTTTTTTTTTAAACAAAAATATAATTATTTCTTTCTCATACGAAGTTTTTTTACCGTTTAATAAGATTTGAATGATTTTGGAGACTTAAATCAAGTTTTTAATAATATATTTTTCTTATATCTTCGACTAGAGAGATGGAAAAATCGTTGTGTATAGAGTAGATTGATGTATAAAAAGGTACTTTGGTTATTGGAGTGTTTTGGACTAGAAGCGTTGAATACAATTAAAATTAGAAGTTTTAATATATATTTATAATTAAACACCGAATGATCAGATTTATTAGAGGAAAAGTTTTGGTTTAAGAACCGCTGGTGTATATAGTGAAGTAGCAGATACAACATGCAGTTAGTAATAACTATTACTAACTATCATTAAGTTGTTCCCGCCACTCGATTATTTGAAGAATGTTTTTTACGTATAAAATGCGCAATACTAAACTTTGCTATTACATGTTACATGTATGTTACATAATTGGCTCTATGTAAATAATTGATGCAAAATAAATTTATTTTCCGGTTACATAATATGTTCATCATCCTGGCATAGGTAATGTAAATGGTCGTCGTAAATAAACGCTGCATAGTAGGTGTGATGTAGTAAGAAAGCATACAAATCAATCTCCGGTTGACTGCATTCAAAATTGGTGATAAATAAAAAACAAGTAATTGTTTTCAAATTATTTACTTTTTTTTAAATGATTATTTTATTTGTAATTATTTTTTTCAAATATATTTGTTTTATTTTTATTAATTTTTTTTTTTTTTTTGAAGATCTAACGGAATCTAATATTTTTTTTTTTAATTGTCCCAAAACTAGAATTACAGCTCATAAACCAAATATCCATCACAAAATATACTAAGTCAAGTCCATGGTTTGTATCTCATTCTCAACACGACCAACAATTTGATTACGAATCTGAAACAATAGTTATTTCAATAATACAGTATAATATACATAAAATAAAAATACATTGTTCCCCTCTCATTATATTGTGCTAATATTGGAAGATTAAAACTGTATTTTAAATTTTTGTTGTCAACATTTTTTATATGAACACAAGTATCCTTCTAAATAGTCTGAATATTAATATTTTCTTAATTTTTAACTGTAATAAGGTTTAAAAATGAAATTATTTTTATTTTACATACATTTAATAAATTGTTAATTAACTAAATATTTCGGTTTAATTTTATTGTTTGTTTTTGATATCTAATTTTTTTTAGTTTTTACTCAAAAAATGATGGACAATTTATTTAATATCAATACATACATAATAAAAAATTAAATCGCTTTTTTTGTTCGGGATAAATTCCGAAATGGCTGAATGGATTTTGATGTAGTTTTCACTATTGGAACTGAGGAAGATTTATGTGTTTAATTATTAATTTATTTGTAGAACTTAATTAATAATATTTCTATGACATAATCAGATTTGTGCCTCAGAGACATAGAGATTATCACCATTAAATTACCGCCACATACTGAAAAGCCTCTGACACACAGTAGGTAGTAGATACTCTAATATATATAATTATTTAGTCTCGAGTTTAAACTGCAGTATCAGGTGCCTATTTTTTTACATTTTTCCCCCGTTTTTTATTTCAACAATTTTTCTTGCCCGTGAAAGCTGTTCGTTAAAATACTATATTTTTGCTCATTTTTGTATATTTTGGAACTTGGGTAAAGTCTTAATAAATAATTTACAATGGAAATGACTCATCTCTTATTATAACATAAGAAAGTTTTTCATTTAAACCAGGAAGTTATGTATCACTGGGAATGTTCAATTTATTTTTTTCGAAAACTTTTCCATAGGCTCCAATATCCACAACAATGAACTTATGATGGTTATGTACTAATACAAGCAATACAATAAAGATTTTTTTTATAACTGAAGTACAATGATCTGCTATTAGGGGGTACATTAATTATCATGGTTTGCCATCCAATGCGCCATTACAATTCGAAAAATTCTATTTTTCAAAATTCATTAGCTGGGTACCTACTTATTCGACATTCGTTCCCAGTCGCATAGTCTCTTCTTTTCAATTTGAAATAATAGCTTCACAAACTTCTAAAACAATTGGTTGTACAATAGAATGACCTAATTGGAAACTAAAGAAAATTTTTTGGTACAAATCACCTATTCCTAAAAACCTAAAAAAATAATTTTTTTAAATTATATATTTTTATATGTTGTTTTTTCAATGAACAATTTTCATGTAATCTAAAAACTTTTAATTTGAAAAATACCTACATAAAATATAATTTTGAATCTAATTTATTTTCAAAATATATATCTATATAACTTAAGTATTGATTTTCATCATAATAATACAAAAAATTTTTACTAATCGTAAATTATTGTACTTTTAGTAATAATTTAGTAAGTTAATACTACATAGTAACTATTTAAGTAGATATAGAAATTAATTAAAAAAACTACTTGTTTTTCCTTAGGGGGAATTTATTCTATAAAAGGTGTACTCTGTTTAATGATTCTGTCCTTAGCTTTCAAAAATAAAAGATTAAACTGAAAGTCATGCGAAAATTTAATTGATTTTTGCGATCTTTCAGCTATTTGCATAAAGTTGCATATTCTCCTTCAATTTTTTTTTCTAACATCATTAGACAAGTTACCATTTTATTTTTAAGTTGTATTAGGATTTGTAGTTAATCTTTTAAAATACGTTAAGAAGCTTTTTATTCTTAAATTCAATATATCGACATTTTTAGTCGATATAGGTATCGATTTATCATTGATCTACTGGTTTCAATAATCAGTTATCGATAAATTAGGTCGATATATCGAATTCAAGACGATTTTTGTCATCCCTTGACGTGCTCGCAGTTTGCGCTTAATAGTTCATTTTGTTTTTCAGTTAAGATTGAAGGTCAACCGATACGTGGCTACGTGATAAGCTAAATGCGTTTGATAAATGATAATTTAAAATTGTAATTATATTTTTTTAAATTAAGGAATTAAGACTTTGTACTTAGTAGTTAATAGTATCTAATACTTATACCTGATAACTGTATTAGTGCTGTGTAAGTAGATATAAAATTGTATGATAAATTTTGAAGTAGCTAACTAATGTTTGTGATTGTGATATACCTGTGTTGGACCTAATGTCAACCTATAATCATAAATTATTATTATTCAATTTAATAATAATTGTGTTAATAGTTAAATGTTAATTGCTTATCGTGCTAAGTGCTGATACACTTAGTTAACTGTTTTAGTGGATGATTTTTTTAGTAATATTGATTCATACAGCAAGAATTACAATATAATTATCTGATTTAAATAATTTTAAGAATACATTAAATTATATTATTTACCTATGAACAACATTTTATTTTAAAATTTCTTGGTTTTTTTTTTTTTTTTAATAAGTATATTTATTACATCATCTAAAAATGGCAAATCCAAATGTTGAAGTTTTGTATAATCAGGTACCTACCTATTTTTTGTATTATAATTTACAAATTAGTTTGATCAAAAATGAGTGTTTTAAATATTTTAAATTACATTAAATTTTACAGTAATATGTGAAAATATTTACTTACATAATATTACTTTATATTTTATTGGGTACTTGTTTATTTTTAAAGGTTTTTTTATTTATTTATTTGATGATTTTTTAGCTAATAAATTATTAGTTATTACCTATTTACAAAATTACTAAGTCAGTTTGACTAATATAAGCATTTTATATTAGTATCTCAGTAATTTATACAAGTTTTTAATTACATTTTTTCAATTTTTTGTGGTATATAATAGTATTCGTGCAATATATTTTAGTTGTCATCTATTTAATTTATATTAGTATTATGAATAGGTAATATGTAGGTTTATATAGTATATATGATAAGTATTTATTTATAGTAAAATTATACAAAGGTGATAATATTATTTTAAAAATATTTAAATAATATTTATAAAAGCTTTAATAATTATTATTTCAGATATTTATCAATAATAATTTTGTGAACTCAGTAAGTGGAAAAACATTTCAGACCATTAATCCTGCAAATAAAAACAAAATTATCGATGTTGCCGAAGCAGATAAAGTAAGATAATACAATTTTATTTAACAAAATAACACTTTTTTTTGAAAATTTATTTACAATTTATTTTAGTTTTAGGTAGATACATCATATACATAATAACTACCTAAGTTTGATGATATACTATAATATAACAAATAAATATTAGCATTTATAAAAAAAGACTCATCAGTATCCCCTAACCTCGACTTTTTTTAGGTATTATTAGGTTTTTTTAGTAAGTTTAGGCCAATGTCTTTTTAGTCATCTATGAGAAATAGAGTATGATTGTTTAATATGTAAATTATTATGACAGTTGAAATTAGTATAATAACTGGTAAGTAATATGATTTAAATGAATTTTGGTGGAATTTTTAAGTTTCATAAAGAATTTAGTTGGTGAAATACCAAGAAGATATTATTTGTTGCAAGCAGATAAATTTTATGAGCTGAAACATTTTTTGTGTTAGATTTAGCAAAATCCAAATAACTGAATACTGTATATTCATACTAGTTATATTATTGATTTGTATAGATAGGAATTATTAGATATAAAGAGTTTGAAAACAACTTAAAAATGATTTAACAAAATATTTGTAGACTCAGTTATACAGGGTGTTTCGTAAAGAACGTAGTTTTTAATTTTATTATAAATTTATTTTATTTTATTAGAAAT